GGGGGGGGGGGGGGGGGGTGCTGGTGACGTCGAGTGTGGTACAACCTCAACGTGACGACTGACGTGCACACATGTGTCGTGGAAAAAAAAGAAAAGCGCACGACCGGACGGGGTCCCAGACAACGATCTTCCACACATGTACATGACCTCTCCTCCGCTGCTCACCCTCGTTTTTCCTCCACGTGCGAATCCCCGACCCACACCAGCCCGGCGCGTCACCCCGCTCTGTACCACCACTTTTCATAGAAAAGAAAACCTCAAGGCAGGCAGCTTCTTTTGTGGCGGCTGACCGAAGTCCGTCCTAAAACCCTCCGGCTTTCCAAATGGTAGCAAACATCTCCCTACGTACCTGTCCGAGCCGATTCCCCGGTGCCCCGGTCGACGCCGACGACGCGGACGCGGCCGATCCCGCTCGATCTCTTGCGCCCGCTGGGGCACCGCCCCCGGTGATGATGCCAGCAGCGGCAGACGGGGCAGGAGGGGCTGCAGGAGGGGTCGGCTCGGCACTCACCGCCTGACTGCCGATGCCGAACATCAGGTCCACCTGACAAAACAACGCGAGTGTTGAGCAAATGGCGTGAAAAAGAAGGGCGCTCGGTAGGCAGCTCGTGAGAAGATGGAAGCGTGCGCAGAGAGTGAGGTCGTGAGGGAGTGACGTGGCCGTGAGCCATGTATATCACGTCGAAGAGTAAACCGTACTTCAGACAATACTCTGGGTGCAAGGCGTTGTAAGCATGCGACGGCGTTCGACGGCCAAAACCCCCTCACAAAGCCCACGCGCATTTCTACGACCGACAAGTGCCTCGGAGAACCACAAAAAATTAAAACACACACTGCCTCCACTGCGAGAAGCATATCCTCCTCCATTTATGCGGGGTATTCCTCCCGCGTGCTCCTCAGAATCACCCCCCCGCCCCCCCCCCCTCCCCTCCCGACCGCAAGTATGATGACCAGCGTCTGGTTCATCATTGCGAAACGTAGCCTGGGCTGGCGCAAGTCGCTCCCTCCGTCCCGGCATCGTAGGGATGCGAGGTCAACGGCCTAACGACTACGGCTGGGTGGTACCCCGCCCTCCCGACCCACCTTGCGGAACATGGGCCGGCAGACCTGCGCCGCGCGAAGCACCTCCCCAGCGTTGAGAAAGACGAACACCTTCAGCAGAGGCTTCTTCTCGAGGTCCAAAAGTAGACAAGGCTTCACGGCCGGCGCCGGCGGCGGTGGAGATGGCGGCGACGTTGCCTGCTCGCCGCCCCCCTCTCCCCCCGGCGAAGCCTCTGACCCGTGGGGCTGCCTTGCGGTTCCCAAGCTGCCTATCGAGTCGGGCGAGCCCGGCTGCTCGGCGCTGGTGCCGCCGCTGCCACCGCTACCAGGAATGCCCGCCGCCGCCGCCGCTGCCGCCGCTGCCACCGCTGCTTCGTGTGCAGATTGCATCTTGATGAGTTTGCTGGTGGTCGGGCAAAGAATGGAGCGCGCGAGGGGGGGGGGGGGGCTATTGAACGTGTTGCTGTGGGGTGGTTTGTTGCGGTACATGAAAGCGGACTTTCCTGCTAGTTGAAGCGTCACTCATGCTCCATGTAGCGCCGGTGAAGTTCGACAGCCTGTTTTTCCACAATTTCAGGCCACACATGTTGCGGCCAGGTAGGATCCGGGATTTGATCAAACACCACATCTGCAGCTACAGCAGGAGCACGGCCAGTAGCACACCGCGCACCATTTACTTTCCACATGAACCTACCTGATGCGTTTGGTTGATAACATGCGCATGCAGAACAAATCACATGGTGCATAGACTACGCCAAAAAAACATGTGAAAGTACAACAACCGATGGGGCCTTTACCCTGACCTGTGCTCTCTTCCGCGAAAACGCAAGGAAAACACACAATGGTCACGTTTTGTGTTTACCTTTCCGACGATCACGCTTGTGTGTACCTTTCTGAGGATGGACTTTGCGTGTATCATTCCGACGATCGCGCTTGTGTGTACCTTTTCCCATGATCTCGCTTGTGTGTACCTTTTTCCGACGACCACTCTCTCGTGCGTCTTTTCCCGACGATCACCCTTTGCATGTGTACCACACTTCCGACGCTGTGGGAGTTGTTCTGCACCTTTCTGCCTCCCGGAGGTCGGTCTCGACCCCTTCCAAGCGGGCGAGCTTCTTCCCGAGCTGGTCGGCGTTCGCCTGCTCCTGCTCTCGTATCCGGAACTCGCGCGCCAGCCCCCACAGCTCCTCCACGAACTTTCCCCGCACGTCGCGCGCGGTCGCCCTCTCCTCTTCCAACCTCGCCGACGCAAGCTTCTCACGCTATTGGTTCGTGCGCCGGACACGCGGCAGTCAGCAGCCGGGGTGGGGGGGGGTAGTCGAGTCTGTGTTGGATACAAGGGTGCCTGCCCTCCGGGGTGGGCTCATGAAAGAACAGCAGTGCCATCCAAGGGGTGGAAAAAGAAGAACGCTCGAAAAGCCGGCCGCCAGCCGTGACGTTTTCCAGGCTCGAACAGCCCACACAGCTGACGTGTTTAGCCTCGAAGAGCCCAGCGAACCACTGCCGAATCAACAAAGAACTAGTATAAATATGTATGCAATCTTATCTTCGTGTTCCGGGGTCGAAGGACGGCGACGGAGTTGGCAGCAGTGGTTTGAGGTTTGGATGCCCTCCACTATTTGTTTCCTATACATTCCCTGCTGCAAGGGATTGCTTGACTGAAAAAGAGTAATATTTCCATCACCACAACAGCTACCTGCGGCCACAACATACCACTTCCTGCTTCGAGAGGCCTGGGGGGGGGGGGGGGGGGGTCGCCTTCCTTGGATGCGCGATCGGGGTCGCCCGTCCCCCGGTGTGACATTGTCATGCTTTTCGTTTGTGTCTCTTGCTCATCATTTGCATGTGCATCTGATAAATGAACGCATGTATCTCTGTACGGTGGGGGTGAGCCTAGCCGGCGAGAAACCCGGTTTGGGGGATCATAAGCATTTTGTTTGTTTGTTTGTGTGTGTGTGGGGAATGGCATGACCGGTGCAACCCCGGCGATGAATACACCCAGGCCTAGAAGGGGTGCAAGGATACTGCTATAGATCCTGCGATATTTTACTTTTTGGGCGGCATCGCGTGCCAAGCGGGAGCGATCGGCTCTATGGTAGTTATTTGCTCGCCACGGGTACTAACCCCATCGGTGGGTACACGCGCCTCGCGTGCCTCACCACTTGGATCTCGCTCTACAGTGTACACGATAAGGAATTGACACACAAGTACCATGTGGTTGAAGCCACGCACAGCACACAACCAGCTGAGGGCGGGGGGGGGGACAAGTAGAAAAAAAACAAGCACAGCTCCAACCAAGTGGAAACCCGAACACAACTGTTTTGGTTCTTCTTGCACGCAACAGCAGTACCGCGAAGCACCTGATCCCGCTGGCGAAACCACCCGCCCCAAGTCTGCAGCCCACGGGAACGGTAAAAAGCGCCGAGACCGACGGCGAGCCCAAATGTTCGAAGGCCATTCACGGGCTGAACCTCTGCTTCGATTTTGTTGGGTCACCCAACAGAATCATCCAGAGATTTTAGCCTGTGGCGTTCGACCGTGAGGGTTCGCCATCGGTCTCGCCGAGGTTAATTGGTGCCGTGGGCTGCGGACTTTGAGCGGGTGATTTCGTAAACAGACCCAGGTGCTGCGCGGTACTGCTGTTTGCACCTTGTTGTCTGCAAGAAGACGCAAGGCAGTGTTCGGGTTTCAAATTGACGTGATTGGGACCTTGCGGAGGGATATTTTTGTACTTATCGCCCCCCTCAGCTGCTGTCCGCTGTGCGCGTCTTGAACCACGCACTCCTGCCACGGTGCTTGCGTGTCGACTCGAGTCCTGTGTAGGGCGAGGTCCAGGGCTGGTGGGGTACCGGAGACTCCCATGGGGTAGAGGCGTCATTTGCGCCACTGGCCGTAGGACCGCACCCAAACTGAATCGTTTCGGCCCCGCGACGGGTCCTACGATAGCCCTGCAACGAACCGACACACTCGTTCATGTCCTGTCCTTGATCCAATCAAGTCTTGTGGGTTGAGATCAAGCTGGTGAGTTGCGAATGCAACGCGTACCCACTACTGCTGTGCAACCGTGCTTCACTTGTTGTATATACCTCCCGTGCCCGGTATGTCGCTGGCGACGTCTGTCTGTCGTGAATTCAATCTGTCTGCCGTTTATCGCGTTCGTCTCGGTTTTTCCGGGTCCTTTTTATGTACTGACGTTTGGTTTTCATTCAAGGAGCGCGTACCCTTTTGGGTTTAATCGGACTACAGCAGTACCGCTGTGACCACGGGAAGACGTCCGCGTGGGTTGGATCTGCTGTCTAAGGTATTTGTACTGACGAGCCACCGCTAGACTAAGCGACACGGTCTTCGATGCGAAGGCAAGAACAACCCCCGGCAATTCTTTTTTGCGGGGTGGTGCTCCGTGTGCACCTTTTCGTTTACTAATCGCGCGCACCAGAGATTCCGTGGGCCAGGTCCATCGTGTACCGGGTGGGTCTGTTCTCGGTAGGTCCTCGGTAGGTCCTCGGTAGGTCCTCGGTATCTACAGTACGTGATCGCGGTCCGTCCCCATAACAGTTCTATCATTTGTGTTCGGCGTAACTTTCGAGTATTTCGCATTTCCAGCGGGCCGCTCTCCGTTCAAAGATCGGTTTTCTCGAGCCCTGACAGACCAGCATTTCTCCCACCATTTTTCACTTGGATTTAGAGTTCATTCTGTCTTTCCGCTTCTGGGCATGTTTCCGCTCCGCCGCCGCTCCGCCTTTTCTCGATCACGTGTGGAGCACTCTGTCTGCTCTCGGGTTTCTCTTCGCTCTCCGTCTGCCTCATTCCCTCTGCAGACTCTTCGCTCTCCGTCTGCCTCATTCCCTCTGCAGACCAGCACCAGCACTCTGTCTGCTCTCGGCTCCGTCTGCCTCATTCCCTCTGCAGACTCTTCGCTTTCCGTCTGCCTCATTCCCTCTGCAGACCAGCACCAGCACTCTGTCTGCTCACAACACACACATACATGCATTCCTCAGCTGAAGGCCAGAAACGTGCCACCACGTACAAAACTTTAGAGGACGCGCCCCAGGAAGCTCAGATAGGTAAAACGCTCCCGAAAACCTTTCACGGGCATCCAGCCAAAATGAAAGCAAACACAAAACCGACGCCTTAGCTATTGTATCACGTAAGGGACGCCCTAGTGCCATGCTCACCATGACATGCAATGGTAACTGGGAAGCAATTAATTCAAGCTAATCTGTTACCCGGTCAAACAGCGTACGACAGGCCAGACTTATGCGACCGTGTCTTCAAAATTAAAATTAAAATGGCTTAACTCATGAAAGACCTCAGGAGTGGCAAGATTTTTGGACCGATTGACTTTGAGATGAGCTGCGTAGAGTTCCAGAAGAGGGGCATGCCCCATATGCATTTAGTAGTGCGCTTTGAGGGACCTTTGCCCGATCAGATGGGAGAAATGGACGAATGGTGTTGGGCGGAAGTGCCGCCGCCAGAGCTCAACAATGGTAGATCAAGAGATCAAGTGCTGAACCTCATGGTACACAAACAGTGTGGCAGTCACAACCCCACATCACCGTGCATGAAGGAAGATCGAAAACGGCCTGGAGTTAAGGTGTGCGGCAAAAACTATCCCCAACCATGGCGTGACGTAGCCGCTGTGGGCAAGACCGGTAGAGCCGAGTACCGTCGTAGAGATACCGGAGAGATATTTCCCTACACACACAGAGTGAACGGCAAATTTATCGAATCATTCGCCACCAATCAATGGATAGCACCGTACAACATTTGGCTCCTTTCCAAATACAACTGTCACATGTGTTTTGACGTCTGCACCGCCAACGCCATAGTCAAGTATATTTACAAGTACATCACGAAAGGCGCCGACTTTATCAAGGCCAAGATTGTTTGTGGTGGTGACGAAATTGAAGCTTACCGATCGGCAAGATACGTGTCAGCGGCAGAGGCTGCGTGGTGATTACTTGGTTTCCACATCATGGAGCGCCACCCTTCCGTCACGTCCCTTCGCTTGCACCTTCCCGATGAACAACACGTCATTGTCGATCAAACTCTTACACGTGCCGAACAGAAGTCGGAAGCCGAACAGACCAAATCCGACCTCATGCTGTACTTTGGAAGACCTACCGAGTCCGACTTCGATTCCCTCACGTACCTGGACTACAACGAGAAGTACATTGTCAACAAAAAACGAAAGTCACGGAAAACAGGAACGAACGCATTTTCGCGACAGATTCGGCTATTATGTTACACCTCGCACTTCAGACAAGAACGTAGCGCGTGTTACGGCTATTACACCAGATAAAGGGGACGTCTTCTATCTGCGCCAACTTCTGCACCACAAACCGGCAAGATCGTTTGAATTACTCAGGACTCACAACGAAATCGTTCATGAAACATTCCAAGACGCTGCTAGAGCCATGGGCATCGTCAAACATGACGAAGAGTACAAGGTTTGTTTGGAAGAGGCTGTAATATTCAATACAGGTAAGCAGCTGCGCCAACTATTCGTTACCCTTATTCTTGACGGTGCACCTGCTCGAATTCTATGGGAGCACTTTAAACGAGACTTCACCCAAGACTTACGTATGTCCATGACCTCCATCGAAGCGAGCAACGCAGCGCTTCGGGAAATCGACCTTGGATTGCAGCACCATGGACGTACTAACGCCATCGCCGGACTTCCAACAGTCATTCATTTAGACACGGAGTACCTACGGTTTAAACATATGTTCGACGTCGAACAGATGCGTGTTTTCGCTGCTCAGCACCTACCTAACCTTACCAACGAACAGCTTTTAGTTTACGACCACGTCGTGCACAACGTCACCCAACACAACGGTTCAAAATGTCGCCGGCGCAATGTGCAATATCTCCGCGGAATCGCAACGAGCAGAAGTTTTGCGGAAATGTGATCTCATCGTTTGGGACGAAATTCCGATGAGCCACCGATATTCCGTCGAGGCGCTTGACCTTACGCTACAGGACCTCATGGGGAACACTCTGCTAATGGGCGGCAAAACTGTTTTGCTCAGTGGCGACATGCGTCAAATAGGACCCGTCGTCGTGTTTTCGGACAGGCCCACTGTGGCCGTATGTCCATAGAATGCGCCTGACCATTTCCCAACGTGATCGCGAGGATGCTCCCTACGCCGCCTTTGTACGCAATATTGGTATCGGAGCCCTAGCATACATTCATGACATCCCAGCAATGCCACCTGATCCGTTTGTCATTGAGAATACGGAATCATTCGAAGAATTGATCAACTTCGTCTACCCCGATATTCTACATGCAGACCCCAGCACGTTCAAGTCGAGAGCAATACTGTCCTCTACCAATGACACCATAGACACAATCAATGAACATATCCTTCACCTGCTGTCTGGTGATCTCTGTACCGTGAACAGTTGCGATACTGTCGACCCTGACAGTTCCAATGCCGATGCCTTCGACTTCGTCATGGCTGCTGACCTCAACTCAATTGACGTTGCAGGCGTTCCGCCTCATGTCTTGAACCTAAAGCTGAACTGTATGGTAATGATAACAAGGAACCTTAACTTTAAGCAAGGACTGGTTAATGGCCAAAAAGGCATAGTCCGTGCGATGGGTTAGCAGATCGTCGTTGTGCGCTGCCGTTAGTGTGTGACTTTTCCGTGGTCATGCTGTCAGGATGACTATGCCATGTCGTGTCGTATGCGTCACTATGCATCCCACGAGGATAGTTGCTGATTTCAAAGTCTCTGGGTTTGCGGCTCGTCGCTTGTTGTGCGTATGTGTGCTGCCGTTAGTGTGTGACTCTTCCGTGGTCGTGTTGTCAGGATGACTATGCCATGTCGTGTCGTATGTAGTGTGTGACTTTGCCGTTTCGTGTGGTTTGCGTTGGGTGGCGCCCGTGTTGTTGACTACGCCGTGTCGTGTCGTTGCGTGGACCGTGCTTTAATTTACCGTTGCTTTAGTGTGCACCGTGTGACTTAGTTGTTAAGCCGTGTCGTGTCGTATGCTTAAGTACGTGTTTCTGCTCACTACTGCTCACAACGCACGTTCAGTGTGTGACTTCGCCCTATGTGGTACATCATTTCTCACATCTGCATACTGCGGGAACAAATTGCTGGGAATCTCACAGCCACCGCATACCATCGTTTACCAGACGCCAAGAAACATGCGTCTTGCGGTACGCTTCTCTCAGCGTGGCGGCGTAAGCCGCCGAAAGCCTTGTAGTCATTCCTACTTCTGCTGTTCGTGTAGCGCTCACTATAACTGCTGTGAGTGTCATATTTCCAGCCAAGTGCTTCCTTCGCTTCGGAACTCAATAGCAGCTGTGCAGCGCGCTGCAATCCCGCAAGCGACCGATGCTGGGCACACACGTATCCTGAGGTTCACCAGGTACACGGGCTTGCCCAACGGGGCCGAGACAGCAGCGGCAGCAGGGCTAAATACGCAACACATCTAGAGTTTCCGACCCCGCCCTGCGGCATGTTCGAGTTATCGGGAGTATTTCGGCTCCCTCCACAGCAGTACCACCCATTCTTTCTAAAACACCATGTCCCGACTACTGCTGTAGAACGACCTCCCCATCATCACCTCACCTCAAGGAGAGCCCTCTCCGAGTCCTTCAGCGCCTGCACCTGCGCCCTCGCGTGCTCCAGCTCCTTCTTGAGCACCTCTTCCTTGTTGGCCCACTCCCACGCCTCGAGGTCGCCCAGCATGCCCTCCATCACGGACCCGACCTCGGCCTGGACGGTCAGGTTGTGCATCGTCTGCCCGATGGCCGACGCATAGGACCGCTCTATGCCCGTGAGAGCGAGCATTGTTCTATGCTCTTGTGGGGTTTATGGTGGATGCGGTGTGGCATCTGCGCTCTTCGTGGTGTGTGTGTTCGGGTTTTTATATTCGTCAGTTTGCTCCGCACCGGCATACCCAAGACTACGGATTATCATGTCACGTCTCCCCCAACAGCCGCCAGCCGCCCCACATGATATGACAAGAGCAGAGAGAGGCCAAACGCACAAGCGAGCACCTAGCTCAGCATGGCCCAACCATTACCATCCTCGTCGACTTCCCCCCCTGTTCCTGATGCTTCTCCTAGCGGGACGGTCGGCGCCGTAGCAGACACAGCAGACGCGGCGACCTTCACAACGGTAGTTGCGCCGCCTCGCAAAGCCGCCAACACCCAGCGCAAGGGCAGGGGCAAGAAGAAGCCATACGCCGTTGGTGCTGGCCCATCCCCGGCCCCCGCAGCTGGCGATCAGAAGCTAACCCATCTAGTGATCGACTCCGGAGCTATCATCAAAGGTGCTGGGATGACGCTTGCGTCGGCCGCTGAGGTGAGAGCAAATTTGAATTTGATTTTTTGTGTTGTCCGATTCGGTGGCGGTGGGCGCGTGTTGAATCTACCCTCTATAGGTGCTTTGCTCTCAAGCCTGTGTTGCGGGTGACCCATCTCCACCTTCAGCGTATATCACGGCCTTCACTGGTGTAACTCCTGTTTGTACGCGCTTCATCCGTGGGGTCGTGGCAACACCATACGCAACGCACGCACGGCGTGTCCTGTACGAAGGACAGCAGCTTGTACTTGCCTGTACGACCATCGTCGCCGAGCTCCTTTCGTAGACTACATGCCACCACCCCCACGCCACCTGCTCTCCGACGTACCACATGTCTCCTCAGAACTTCTGGACCATTCCGGAGGTGGTTGCCGAGATCAGGGACAAGAAAGCTCGCCAACATCTGGAGTCCCTGCCGTTCGAGCTCAAGCTGAGGGAGCCCTCCGACGAGGCCATGAAGTTCGGTGAGTCGATGAGGAAGCACCCGCATGACGAGGCAGACATGGACGCCCTCAGGACTGCCGGGTGCGCTTGCGATGGCACACCCAAGAACAAGGCTGCTGGTGTATGTATGTAGCACGTCACAGCAGTGTATGGCCTAAATTGCGTCGGCTGAGTAGTCCACGCAGGAGCAGCAGGCAAATGGTCTGGGCTGCTGGGGGGACGGACAAGGTCCGAAGTGCGGCGAAACTCAACACCGTCCGTCACACACACAAGGTGCAACGAAATTGATTTGTTGTGTCCTGTTGTATTGACAACAACAGTGAGATCGCATCGCAACGATTAGGATGCGCTCGTGAGCCAACCGTTGGCGATGCCCAGCCCCGTCTGTGCGGGTGGCACCGCCGCCACTGTCGGCGCATCTCCGCAGCTAGCTCGGCTGCTTGAACTGCCGTACCAACTAACGAGCTGGTCAGCATGAATCCCACAAATGAAACCTACATGCAGTACTGGTAGCCTCCTCGGACGCGGTGTCAGCTGTCAGTCGATGGGGCATGAAAGACACGGGTCGGTTTCAAAAGGACTGCAGTTCGGTCATATGGCCACCACTACTTCTACTGCTGTGTTGTGTATGTAGACAGCAGTGCACGCCATCCGAGCTTTCTGCTGCATCCTGGCGGTCCTGCCATCCTCTATCAGCGGTCTCGGCATCGCTCTCCCCTACACCTACCGTCTGCTAAGTCTAATAAAGCTTCATGCGCTCTTTTATTGTTCTCCCCGGCGGGTCTGTCCTTGCAGCGGCGAGCTTCGCGCGGCAGACGGGCGACTTGCGGTCGCTGTCGCGCGTGGATCTCAAGGTCATCGCCCTGGCGTACATGCTGGAGAGGCAGGAGACCGGCGCGGGGCACCTGCGTACGGCGCCCATTCGACCGGTGAACTCTCAACGAATCGATTTCGTTCATTTTTTTGGCCAACCTCTTACCGACCAGCTTCTCTCATTTTCTCAACTCCTTCGACGAGTCAATGAACCGTGTGAACCATGCAAGGGGGCGGTAGTTCACTCGAGAGGAAGCGAAAGGGCCGTCATGTGAACATTCTATATACCAACCGTTACATATCAAATCACAAGAGTTCTTCCCAATGAAAGCTCTCGCATTCGGATTGATCGCTGTGTACCGAATACCCTCTCTACTGCCGTGGGGCCCCTGATCCAGCTGTGGCTTCTTCAGACACTTGGGCGAGGCTATTTGACCGCCATACGTCGGAACATTGTCCCTATACTGATCTACCATCTACCTTGGCCTTTTTCTAAACTGCACGTACTCGGACGTATATTTCTGCTCTACATTTGCAACTCACGACCCTCTCTGCGCGTCTGCGCCAACTACCTCACCACGCAGGGTACCAAGGTCAACAGCAACCGCAAGGGGGTCAGTGCGCCAACTCTGGCGCCGGCGAACGACGCCACAGAAGAAGCTTCCGCGAAAGTTCTTGCGGATGCCACCCTCCAAACGGCGTCGACGACGACAGGTGATGTACGCACTGCTGCTGCTGCTGCTGCTGCTGCTGCTGCCAGTGGAAAGCCCAGCGAGGAAGAGCCCGATACCCCAGCAGCAACAGCGATAGGACGAAAGAAGAAGGAGGCGGCGGGGGAGGTGGAGTCTCTGTGTACCGCGGTAAAGCAGGCTTGGACGGACGATGTTGGCGCCGCTGGCGACGCGCATGGCCGGGCGGCGGAGAACGAGAACGATGAGGGCGAAGGAGAAAGCGAGGGTAGCGACAGCGGTAGCGCCTCAAACGGCGACGGAGAGGAGGAGGAGGAGGAGAAGGATGGCGACGACGTTGGTGACGATGGTGAGTGGGAGCCGGAGGGCGCCGGCGCGTTAAAAGCACAGTCGGGAGACGACGCTGCCACCGCGGCGAGCGCACCCTTCAGCGCGGACGACTTCCCCTCCCTGGGAGGGGGAAAGAGCGTACCGGTACCTGCCGCCGCCCCGGCCGCCGCTGCCGCTAGCACCTCTTCCCCCTCCCTCCCCCCGGCAGCAACCGCGGCGAAGGCAGCAGCCCCCTCGGACGCACCCACGTCGTCGTGGTCCCTCATGGCGCGATCGAACCCGGCGCCTTTCAAGGTCCCCGCCAAGGCCGACCCGGCCCCGTTACCCGCCGCCGCAGCGCCGCCGCCGCTGGATACCGACGACGACCCCGCGGGACATTTCACGACTAGCGGGGTAGCATCGCCCGGTGCCGCCGCCGCCGCCGACCGCCCTCGGCCGGACGGCGCGAAGCCCGGAACCTCTCGCATCATGAGCACTGCGGCGGCGTTCGGCGTGTCGGGGGGAGGCGCGGACGACGACGACGGGGAGGGGTGGGTCAACCCGTCCAACATCAAGAGCCAGAAGGCGGCCGGCATCGGCCTCAACGGCCCCTCGCAGACCCAGAGGAAGGGAAGTCATAAGGGCAGGTCGACGGTGGCGAGCCAGTGCCGGGCGGGGTGCGTAACGACGGACTTCGCCATGCAGAACGTTATCCTCCAGGTGCGTCCTGTTTTGGTTGGTAGCCCGCCTCTGTTACCGGTTATTTTTCGTGTATTTCGGCCGGTGCCATGTGGTTTTGTGTCACCCGAGGCCATTTTTTGTGATGGGATGGCGGGGGCGTCGTGTACTTGACAGCGAAAGAGCGACGATTACTTTTAGTTGTTGTGCGGGACGTTCTTCTCTGCCTTACCCGTTTGTGTGAGGGTCTCTTTCTGCTTTTGACCCTGGTGTTCAAGATACTGCTGTGCATTGCCGACTCCGAAAAAAAGCCTCGACGCTCACCGTCATCGCGGAAGTTAACCGTGCGTCGTTTAGCTTAAACAGACCCCGCGTTGGGCTAAAACCCGCATGAACATTCCCCCGTCACCACGCCATTCGAAACCCAGGTCAAATTTTAGACTTGGAACGGCCACGACAACCCTCATTGTTGCTCAACGAGCCTCGCGATGCGTTGCTCTAAAAAGATCCTCGACGCCAACGATCCTCGGCGTCAACGATCCTCACCCTCAAACTATCCTACCTCACTCTTCTCTACACCGACTGATATTGTATGTTCAGGTGGGCCTGCCTCTCCTGTCCCTCGACGGCATGGCCGTCCACCGCGTCAAGCAGTGGATCCTGCGCTGCGCCGCGTGCTTCAAGACCTGCACCGAGATGGGCCGGCTCTTCTGCCCCGTGTGTGGCAACGCCACCCTCGACCGCGTCTCGTGCTCGGTCAACGCCAACAGCGGAGCGACGCGGGTGCACCTTCGCAAAAACCACAAGGTTAACCTCCGCGGGAGCAAGTTCTCGATCCCGGCGGCGAACCCGGCCAAGGGTAGGTTCGAGGGGGACCTCCTGCTGCGGGAAGACCAGCTGCTGTCCGGCATCTGGGCGCAGAAGGTGGGCGCGCTCGCGTGTGTGTTACTTACTCTTCGGTGTCCTTGTCTGTGTGTATCGTGGGTCGGTCGGTCCCGTGTGTCGGGTATTTCTTTCGTTGTTACTTCGTCGTGCGTGCCTGAAGCGAGGTGGGGGGGTCGCGCACTTTGCAAGCTGCCGTTGTGGCGGGGGCGGAAAGCGAGGGGTCGTTGAGGAGGTGGGGCTGTTCTTTCTGAAGGGATGTTTGCCCCCATGTTTTGGCGCTCCTGTTTTCAGCGAGCACCGACTCACTTCTTTCCGTATTGTCAAGAATGAGGCGCCATCTGGTAGGAACATTTTCGCGGTTAGCGTAGTTTTCCTAGCCGAAGAGAAGTTGATGACGAACCGAGGCCAGTACCAATTCATCATAAGCGTGACGTGGAGTACATCAAAAGGATACTCGGATAAAATATTGGTTCGTACCACTCACAGCATACACTGCTTGTTCAAATCTACAATCAACCAATGGCATGTTTGTTTGTCGAGGGGAGAAAGACGGAAATCGTGCTTGTGTCGCACCTTCTTTCGTCTTAACGCGGCCAAGACGATCTAACCACCCTCCCATCTACTCTCCCGCAACCACGGAACCCCCGCAGGCTCGCCGCAAGGAGAAAGACGTCAGCTCCATGTTCGGAGAGGACATCACCGGCAACGTGGGGCTCACCGTCTCCAAGTCGGCGGACCTAGTGGTGGGCTACGGCCGCAAGAACCCCAACTCGGCGAGAGGCCGAGAGCGGCGCGGGAAGAAAGGGGTGAAGACGAGGCTTTGATGAGGCCACACAGCGCTCCAGTCTCACCGAAGTGTAGGGCCGGGTCTAATGCCTTCGCCAACCTGTATCAATGTCTGTTCTCTGGTATAACGTGTTTTAGTGTTGAAAGTAGTCGGCGCGTCTAGATAGAGCCTCGTTATTTTTTCTCTCTCTCCGGGAGAACCAAAGTGCGTTTGTCGCGCTGTCCCCAGCGATGTGCCGTTGCCGCCGTAGCCGGGCTATTTATCCATCAGGTTAACAGATTTGGCACACACGGAGGCATGCTTGAACGGCCGTGGTGTGTAAGCCCTGGTGGAAGAGCGGTTCTTTTTCGCTCCTCAAGTGTCTGGGCTACCTCCAATGTAGCGTTATTATAGTACATCCAACGGGGAGGTTATGAACTGAACGAGAAGCTTCATCTTCATGTTTGATACGACGGGGCGATGTTGTCAGTTGGGCGTGGTCTTTTTTCGTCTGGGCGGGGATTGCATTGGCCGACTGTCTATAGCCGGTTGTATACATAGCTGCGCCGAATCAATCACTGTTGTTCTGTTGGTCTACGCTTGAAGGTGTTTTGAACAGCTCTTCTGACGTGCACGCATCAAGGTTAGTAACTCGGACACGCCAAAGCGTAAGGTGTGGTTATGGTCTCCTTGTCTGTCCAACGGTTGATGCGGCGGGATGTCTTTTCACAAGTTACTCTTGGAGAGGAATGCGGACCGGGAGCGTAATGGTTGTGCGATGCAGATCTGCAAAAATTGGAAGTGCAGTTTCTTCTTCGACGTGTCCTCACGATACACGCAGTGTTGATCGATGCGTGCACCCTTGTAAGCGTGTGAACCGTGCTAATGAGGTTGGTGCTTCGCCTCTTGATGCAAAGCCCCTTTTCTTGAGATCACTGCGATCGACTAGCCCCGTCTGATTTGAGTCGTGAAGGTATCGCTACAGCTGTCCCACAGCTGTCCTCCGGACTGCGGACAACTACAACTGAAGCCAACTCTGCCCGTCAATACAGTCAACGTGGCAGCGCCAGTTTTTGGCACCCCCCCCCTCTTCCGCAATTCTGCGAATTCGCACGCTTGAAATAACGTGCGAACCCGCGTCACTCACCCCACATAAGAAAGTTGGACGTGTAGATTGTAGACTCATCAGTTGTTGAAAATGTTATTCAGGAAGGCCAAACATTCTAAGTAGACAGGATTGCGCTCAATCTAAGGCGACGAGCGACGAAAACTCACACAAAAACAAACACAAGAGAGGTATTTGCTCTTGTCGTTTGTAGCGGGAACGAGGCGCATCAACCTGTGCGCCCGAGCTAAAAAAAAGGGAAAAAAATACACACATGAGCGAACAAAAAAACAGCGTTACAGCAATGATCCTTCCTGTCCCTCCCCACGTATTTACACTCGACAGCCTTGCCATCGAAACAAAGACGCCCCGCCTCCCCCTGGAGCTAGCGGTGCAGCAACTTGCAAGCCTCCGCCGCAAACGGTGCCCCGCTGTGCTAGGGCGCAATTCTCTTCACATTGCCCCGTTGCCGTCGCGTCTCTCTCTCTATCCTTGGCCGTCTCGCTCACACGGCCATTTTCATCTTGATGGTCTTGTAGGGCGAGTACCCCTTCACCTCCAAGTGCTTGTACTCGAAGGAGTCGATGTCGGTCTCGTCGGTGTTGATGGACAGGGTCGGGAAGGGTCGGGGCTTGCGCTTGAGCTGCTCCCTGAGCGCGTCCACGTGGTTGACGTAGACGTGGGCGTCGCCGATGGTGTGGACGAAGTCTCCGGCCTTAAGCCCGCACGCCTAAGGGCAAGGAGCGGGACATCATATGCGGTACACGGGCAGACAGGTCAGGGGAGCGACGTGAAGGCAACTAGTGCAGCAGGAGGTGAAAAGCTCACAAGCTACATGTGCATTAAGGATGCACTGATCTGTGGGATGCGAGCAGTGCTTTCGAGCACCGGCAGACACAATACAGGCGGGAGCGAATGCAGAGGCGAGGGCTGATGCAATGCACACTAAGGCTAGGCTACACGTCCACGACGACAACCACCCACGTTCAGCCGAATATGTCCAGGAAACGAAGGCGCGAAGAAGCGAACCCTGTCCAGCCCTGCACTACCTACCGTTTTTACTTTGCCGGCAAACCCGAGTGCAACAAAGAGCGTCAATCCAAATGGGTACTGCTGTAGCACTGTATCTCTTGTCAGACGACAAAACGCCATTCATGAACTAGACTGAAACTTGTCGATGGTAGAGAGCGTAGTGCATTTCTCTCGGGATAAAACTCTAAGGCTTGGCCCACAGGAGGAGCCTTCCTGCGTGGCCCTGGCTGGTGAGCCCAGACAGCATATCGAAACATGGTGTCCCACTTGCCGACAAAAGACGGACTGAAAAAAATGAACTGAAAAAATTATGCTCCACTACAACAGCAGTAGGTCAACTTCTTTCACGAGAAGACAAATAGTAACTGATCAAACTTCCACGCCCCAAACTTCCACGCCCCCCCCCCCGGAAGACAAAATTACGCCGGCACAGCCAATCACGTATGTAGGCGCGCCCACACCTGAGCAACGAGCCTCGTGAGCAGCGCGTAGGAGGCGATGTTGAACGGAACGCCGAGGCCCATGTCCGCGCTGCGCTGGTACATCTGGCAGGACAGCTCCCCCTCGGCCACGTAGAACTGGCAGAACATGTGGCACGGCGGCAGGGCCATCTTGCCGAGGTCCGCGGGGTTCCACGCCGAGAGAACGATTCTCCGGTCCTCGGGGTTAGTCCTTGGAAGACGGGAAACATGGACAGAGGCGATATTAGAGCAGGCCGGGGGGGGGGGGGGGGGATGCTCGCTGGTAGATAAGAGGCACGTTACAGTCCTTTTCAAGTGGCTGCTTAACGGGGCTTTGATCGAGCAGGCTTTGTTTGGACAGGCGGCCCTCTGCGGAGGGAGCGAGTGGCGTCCTATTCCCTCCGGGCTCCGCCCCTCCAACACAGTCCCTCGACACGAGAAACACAGTTTATCTGTGTACCCGTTTCTATATTTCACGCTCCACCCCGCCTGCAAAGCAGCCAGAGACCGTCTCCCTTAAGATAACACCCCACGGGCCAACATGGATCGCTGACAAGGTCGACCGCGTTCGGTTCCCGTGAGGTGGGGCCTCTCTTAAACCTAACCGCCTCTCTGCCTGTCTGCACTCTTTGCTCTAGTCCCATCTGTCCAACCATCTCTTGGTAAGTCTCACTTGATCTTCTGTATGCACTCCGCGAGCTGGTCCACTCCTTTCCCCGTGTAGTCGGCGTGCATGTCCGTGTACTCCGCGCCAAAATGCCTCCATTGGAAACCGTACACCGGCCCAAGGTCTCCTTCTTCGCGCTCGGTGAGTCCCAGCCTGCACCCATTCGGTCGGGTGGAGGGAGGGGGGGGGGTACGTAGGGCGCGTGAGAGAGAGAAGACAAAGGCGTAGTTCGGTCGGATGCCGCGATTGGAAGGGATGGAGTCGAGCGTCCGTCTGATTTTCAATAACCCAGAAACACGTCAAACGTGTCGAGCGGCCCCCACATCGTGAGGCCAAACATGTAGCCGGTGTCGTTTTCAACAGCTTTGGTGGGTCCATTGTCTGAGGGGGGGGGGGGGGAGCGTCACACCATCAAGGCGGTTCACAGTGAAAACATAACAAAAACGCTGCATGGTATATACATGGTAGTAGGGTTCGGCTGGCAGATGATAGGCTAGCGCTCGGCGATCAAAGAAACCCTGGCGACTGCAGTGGTCCCTCTTAAGTAGCAGCAACGGTCGTTTTGTTCTGCTTGTCGGACTGCCACAGGGGCGTTCGGTTGTTGTTGGGACTTGGTGCTTTGCCGCCTCCTTGGTGCCTTGGTTTCTCGTGGGTAAAGGGTAGTAGGTATATTGGCGAATTGCACTTATATTCTGCTGTTCTGGACAACGCAAGGTGAACCCAGGGTTCTCTCCGGGTCGTGGACAGAGAAAGGTTCGGACAAACTCGTTTCGTAATTAGTCCTCTACTGATGCACACAGCAGTGCAAGCCCGCATAAACGGCAAATGCAAGGCTCAAAAACACAAGCACAGAGAGTCGACTCGAGACTCTTCAAGGCGCAGATCTTGATGTAGGTATAGGAACGTTCGCGGTGCTGTAAAGACGACGACGACCTCGATGCCTCGATTGTGCAGTCTCTACAGCACATCTCGTCGCAACAAGCTCCTACTGCTGTTTGTATTTTAGTCTATTCTGCTCAATGAGAACAGGAAGAATCGACTTCGCAAGACCTGCAGCGTCGGCAAGGAAAATTGTTAGCGCTTCACAGCAGCAATTGTGTACACCGAGGTCGTCTCCCAAACAGCTCACCCGTCAAGGAACTCCCTCGACCCGTTGCCGTCCCAGATGTGGATCCCCCGTTCCTTGAGCACGTTCGCGTTTGTACACCCAGCGACGAACCACAGCAGCTCCTCCGCCACGCCGCGCCAGAACACGCGCTTGGTGGTCAGCAGCGGGAACCGCTCTTCCCTGAGGCTGAAGCGCATCTGCACGCCGAACTTGGACAGCGTCCCCGTCCCCGTGCGGTCCCCCCTGCGGACGCCGTTGTCCAGGATGTCCTCCACCAGGTTGAGGTACTGCATCTCTTCCTCGTTCCCCGGACCGCCCTCCGCCTCCTCCTGGGGCACCGGTGCTGTCGAGGCCGAGCCTGCTGCTGCCGCTGCGTCTGCGGTAGCGCCGCCGTCGCCTGCCGCCGCCGCCGCCGCGGGCGTCTCAACGCCGGTTGCGGCAACCTGGTCTCCGTCGGGAGAAGACTTGCGCTTGGATCCTACGACGCTTGCTGCGGATGCGTTCTCCTTGTCCCCCTCGGCCGCAGCCATCGCCGCCGCCGCCTCCGAGTGGTTGACGCTCTCGTACTCGTCGAAGGAGAGCTCGACCCCTTTCTCCTCCTGGGCCTCGCCCTTCTTGACGAGTTTGAACGTGTCCGGGTCGAGGGCCGGGAAGTGGGTGTCGCAGTCGTCGAAGCGCCCGTCCGCCGGCGGGGTCACCGAAGTCAGCAGCACCTTCTCGCAAAGCTCCGACGCCACGGCCTCCGCATAGACCGAGCCCCCACCGATAACAAATACCTTGTCCACCTCAGAGGCGGCAGCGGGAGAGAGGAGATCCAGGGCCTCGGTGAGGCTGCCGGCCAGGAGCACGTCCTTGGGGAGGCGGAGGGTATCTCTGGCCGCGGGGTTGCGGCTGAGCACGACGTTGCGGCGGCCCGCGAGCGGGCGGAATCGCTCGGGGATGGACTGCCAGGTCTTGCGGCCCATGATCACGGCGTTGATTTTGTCGGTGGTGGTGGTGGCGGTGGTGGTGCCGCTGCTCGTCGTGGGAGTGGACGTGCAGCGCTTGAAGTAGGCCATGTCGGCGGCCAGGCGCCAGGGAAGCGCGCCGTTCTTGCCGATGCCGAGGGAGCCGGCGGTGGCGGCGACGATGACGACAAAAGAGCGCGAGGTGGAAGGAGAGGCGACCGCAACAGAGGAAGCCATGGCAAGCAAGGTGTTTCTCTTCTGCAGCAGAAGTAGTGATGCGAAGGGCAGCAACAGCAGCAGCACCTTCCACGACGTTGCCGGATGAAGCATCGCACAAGCGACCGACACACCCCAGCAGCCGCCGATTCAAATTTCGAAATGAGGGGGCTCCGCAGATGTCTCGGACTGGTTTTCGTTGGGGCGCTATACATGTAGTTGGGGGGATCGGGGCCGTCGCACAGGACTGTGAGATTGCGTCCTGAGATTGCCGCCGTGGCGCGGGGCGCGGCTTCACATTTGTTTGCCGCCCCGATCGTGCCGTGTGCTGACGTGCTGACGCTCCCCGAAGTAGTCTACAGTCAATTAACCTTTCGGATGTGAGCATCTTCTGTTGAGTTTTCTATAGCAACATCTTTAGCCCACGGCTGTCGTGTTGGTGCACCTGGCGTTTGTTGGGGAGAGCTTCCGGGTGTCCTTCCTGGCGCTGGCTATATAACCCAAGAATCAATGCTGCTGCTGCGTTTATGCACACGGCAGCCATTTTTGCGCCGTCGGATCGGCAACACCAACATGGCTTGCCGAGAGTACGGTGCAGAAGCCCCTGCCAGGTGCTGCGCCGTGGTGTATGTGTCAGAGGGGAGAAACAGCACGCTGTTGGATGCTCTGGCCGAGGCGGCAAGGACGACTGCTCCCGGTACCGCTGGCCTGATCAGGCAGTTCAGAGATCCCCAGTACCACCGCACGGGCTTCACGATAGGCGGCGCGTGTCCCGATGCCGTGGCGAGAGCTTCGGTAGAGGTTAGCCGTCGCGCCGTCCGAGCAATCGATCTTCTAGAGCACGAGGCAGCCCACCCCCGAATCGGGGTGGTTGATCACGTGTCAGTGCACCCACTGGGGGGGGAAGGCAGCCAGGAGATTGCTCAGAAGGCAGGCTTGGCCATTGCGACGGCACTGGGGAAGGATGTGGGCCTACCCGTCTTGCTGTACGGCGACCTAAACAACGGCAGACGGTTAGCGGAGGTGAGATTGAGCCAAGGGCACGCGGCGGGTGTTTCTCCGCTGGGACTACGCACTGCATGTTGATGTAAATTTGTGCAGTTGATTGTTTTGTTGTGCGTGCCGAAAGCGGAGAAATTTAGCACAAACCCCGATTTTTGTCAAGGCGGTCTACATAGTCAGGAGTTAGCGCCCGCACTAAAGAACCTGAGAGTTGAAAAGTTCGGGCTAAACAAAACAAGTCTCTTTACGGTGGGGAACGTGTATGTGGCACGCCGCGGTTAGTTGCCTGTTTCTTTGCTAGATGCCATGATGCGACGCTCATCAAGCAATCCATGTCCCAATTGCAGGCTAAGTAGCAAAGGCAGACGCAATGGAGAGAACACGTATTTTTCTAGCTATGGTACAATAAATAGAACAGATGGCCGTGTTAAAGATAACTTGTTTGGTACTTCATGGAAGTGGTGTTATTTTTTGCCCATGGGCATCCATCGACACTGCTGTAGAGTTCATTGTCGGCATAAGACTTTGAAGTGTGTATATGACTTTTGGGTGCTTGAGCCGTAGACCCCCCCGCACCTCCAACCATGCTCTTTTTTCGGTCGAGGCCGTTTCTGGATGGCAGAGCTTAAGTGGTGCACGTGCTTCGTAGTATTGGAAACGAACGTAGGACAAATCGCAGGGGGCAGTCCTGAGGCGCTGGCTCTGTATCTCTCTTTGCGCGGTCGGGTGGCGCGAGGCCGACGATGACGTCAGTGCGTCGCACTACCTGCTGTCCACGCAAGCGCAGCGACTATCGCGAAGAACCTTGAAATACTACGTGAGCTTGTAGGTTTTAATACATATATCTACAGACGTATGGTTGAGTACTTTCGTGAGGCACGACGCCTGCGAACGGCAAACCCAACCACACCGCAGCTGCTGTTTGAAGCACTGCTGCATCTGCAGCAGTACTCCCCTTCATATTTTCTTGGCAGAAGAGAGCACAGCGATGTCAGACAAGCAGAATGAACGCCAAGTTCTAGTACCGTAATGGGGGCAGCCACGATCGACCGCGTTGTTGTATGATGCATCCCGTCGAGGGTCGAAAGATGCCGAATTCAGTCTGTTGTTTGAGCACAGCGTCCTGTGACTTAACTCCACAAGGTAGATATACAGCAGGAACCATCAATAATACTGTTGTTCTGTTTATGTTGTGGTTGGCAGGTGCGGAGATCAACACCCTACTTTGTCGGCGGAGAGCTCCCCGCGACGATCGATGCAGACCTTGGGCCAAACGAGGTGGGCGTGTGTGTTGTAATATCATCCTATAGTTGCCTTTCGACATCCATCCGTGTAGTCCGGTCAGCTACAACAGAACGAGTCACCGGACACGTTTGAAGTGAACACGTTGTGGATTTAAGATCTACGGCATCACCCTCACGATTCTAATTCCTAATGGGGATAACCCACACACCCCAGGCTTGTCGTACTCTGAGCGTGAGTTGATACAGGAACCGACTGCTCCTACTTGCCGCCGACCCGCGTTCCACGAAAACGCTACCACGTGCCTCGCTTCCGCCATCGCTGTCGGCAGGTGGATGCGTCTCGAGGTATTGCCACCGTCGGCTGCACCCCGCTGGTGACAAACTACAACATCCTCCTGAGCACCGATGACAAGCGCCTGGCTTCGAAAGTGACTCGAAGCCTGCGAGAGAAAGATGGTGGATTGCCGTGGGTAAGCTCACTCACTGACCCCCTCTCTTCTCTTGTTTGGTCTCGCGATTGCTCATCTTGTACTCCCAGGAGGGAACATCGATATTCTATCGAAAACAACCGTGGGCAAAAAATTACCGTAACCAAGTAGCATTCATTGACAAGAACAGCTTTGCGGGCTGTTTCGTTCGATGTCAAAATTGTCGCTTCGCGGATTTCCTCACATGGCGAACGCCACCTCTGCGGGCCAGGACGTTTTTAGTGTAGACGTCAAGAAACGGAAGGGAAGTAGATGTCAATCGCAGTTTGTAGCCATCGCAGTTTATTTCTTCTTGCGGTTAGTCTACCTCCCGTAGACTATATGGGCAAAACCACGGCCTTGATGACGGTGCAAGACTCATCCAGACCACACAGAAGCCCGTACTTTGTAACGGTTCTCAGGCGGCCTTGTTGTTAACGTACTTTAACGTTAGTACATCCAAGATGGGAATATTTCGTCAGATGCACGGTGTGTGCCGTTTGCACCATCCGCGGCCTCGCGGCCAGACACATCCAAACGCTATACCTAACAATCGTTGCTTCATCACCATGACGTAAACATTCGCGTAGTGCAATTCGCACTATTCCTTTCACAGATAATATGTCTCCTCCCATGCAATAGTACAGTTTATACTCTGGACTTGATCTCGACTCTACTGCTAGACCGTGCCAATTGTTACAACTTCTCACAAACCAACTGTTCTCCCGCACCAGCAGGCTTGGGCGTGTGCGTGTGCGTTTGCGTTTGCGTGCATACGGGGCACGGTGTGTGTCTTGGCGCGTTGTCCACACAACCGGGCACAAAACGGTACCCAGCACACCAAAATATCGTGCTTTGTTGTGGGTCTGGCAGCTGATTCGTTGACGGAGAAGCATGAGTCGTTTCGTTCAGCACCCATTTGTTGCAATCGATTTTGATCAACCTCACGCAGCGGGACGTTTTCCATTGGCATATTTTCGCGGAACGGAGCAATCAATCAGTATGGTCGAGCGAGAAATATCATCTTTACGAGGCAAAATATTCTGTCGAAAACCGCCTCGCTTGTCGAATTTTTTTCCCGTAACTTACGAGCTGATAGTCTATGTGCTGTTATGCACTATCACTTGGTTTTCCCAAACGCGCTTTGTTTGGGTTCCTACGCCCGAAAGTGTACATGGCACTTCAACGGTTCCTTTGACTTGGAGTGAAAGCGATCTTCGCCACGGAAGCCCTCTACGTGGAGCATTGGTTCAGGCCGATATGTAACCATTTCCCGCAACGTTACGCCCCCTGCTTCGGGATGGCATACTTTGCACGCAAAGCGCGAAGAAACCGCATCCATCGTGAACTGTGAGCTGATGCTATGATACGTATCCGAAGCGACGAACCCAGTCACTATTTCAGCAAGGCCGTGCATGACGTACACAGCAACGACCATTTCCCAACAAATTCATCAACCTAAGCCGCCCAGGGCAATCCAACCCTCTTGCAGGTGGAATCACTAACCCTTCAGAGAAAAGACGGTACGTTCGAGGCCGCCTGCAACCTGCTTCGGCCGAAAGAAACAACGACGGCCAACGTGTTAGCTGTGGCTGAAGAACAAGCGGCCGGTGTTGGCATCCGAGTTGTGGATCACTACGAGACGGGACTTACGGATGAGGAAGCCTTGGCGGCAATATCTCGACTTTCGTCAGAGAGAAAGTAAAATGTGTGGAGACAAGGTTTTGGGCGCTGCGCGCCCCCGCTTTATTTGAAGCGATTCCAAGGCAACGTTTTCTCTGAAAGTGGGTGTAGGATGTTGTTAAAATGAAGGTAGGCACCGATGGCAGTTCAAGTTTCCGTGAAGGTGGAGTTCCCATGATGGAGGTTCGTGTGTGAGAGCACACAACACCGTTGCCGGCATCGGGACAAACAACAGACCATTCCGACGCGAGAGCGGTGAAGAGAGAAAAGCAAAAATTTAAAGACAACGTGGATACACAGACACACACACACCGACAGGAGAGAAGAAAAAACAAAATGTACAGCAGTAGCACACGGAATCGGAACAAACAACAGACCATTCCGATGCTGCGAAAAAATGTAGCCGGAGTAGCTACAGAGGAGTGGGAGGAGTGGGCCGGGGCCATCGAGAGTGGAGGTAGAAAGGAGTGTATTTTCGTATTTTTCGGACCTTTTGAAGGGATTATCGGAACCGGAGCACACAACACCGTTCGTTGCCGGAATCGGGACAAACAACAGACCATTCCGACGCGAGAGCGGTGAAGAGAGAAAAGCAAAAATTTAAAGACAACGTGGATACACAGACACACACACACCGAGAGGAGAGAGAGAGAGAGTACGGTACCAAGGTGAAGGAGGTGAGTGCATACCGTGTGAAGGTGTTAGAAGAAAAAAAAAATGTACAGCATTAGCACACGGAATCGGAACAAACAACAGACACAGGCCATTCCGACGCGAGAGCGGTCAAGAGAGAAGGCGAAAATGAAAAGAGAATGTGGATAGACAGACCGTCAGAGACATAGAGAGACGGAGGAACGGAGGAGAAGGAGACACACACAGAGAGGGCCGTACTTCGACGCGAGAGCGGTTAAGAGAGAATGTGGATAGACAGACCGCCAGAGACATAGAGAGACGGAGGAACGGAGGAGAAGGAGGCACACACAGAGAGGGCCGTACTTCGAGTGGAATGCGTGGTATGATGGTACAGAGCGGGGTGACAGCAGCAGGCGAGAGGGATAAAAGCGGAAGATAAAATTCAAGTGGAAAGTCCACCAAACAAAGTGCCAAATTTCCAGAGGAAATAAATGCTGCTCTGTGAGAGCCCGAGAAGACCGGAATAGAGCGCTCACAGAAGAAGCCGAAAGAAGCGAAATGAAGCGTTCTCAGAGAAACCTTAAATTGTCAGAACCCTAAAGAAGACTATTTACTTATGTCGGAGGAGAGGGTTTAAGGCGGAGGAAAGCAGAAACGAAAGTATATTTAATTAGTATAGATCCCAACGTACTTCCATATGAAGTTGTTGTTTTTTGTGGTCTGATGTTGTTGCCTCTGGGGTCCCGTGTGGTGAGGCGAGACTCAGTCAAGGATGTACTTCCGCGAGCTGTTCTTGCAGAAGCAGAACCTTCTCGTTGCCCCCCCTTGCGTTGAAGGGAGGTACGCCTTCCACACTTTAGCATGGGCGAACAAACACCACCTCCGGCAGGGGACGCGACTACCCCATCCGCCGAAAAACAGAAATACTATTATTATGCCTTCTGGCGTTGCCAAACTTGTGAGCTGGCGGTACCTTGACGCAACTCGGGTGGGCACACCTTTGGCTCGGGGGAGAAGAGTCGCCCGCCGGCCTACGGCCTACTGAACGACCCGAGCGGTACTCTTCGTTGTGTATCCTCTCGTGTTGCCACACCGCTGGAAGATGATCAGCACCCGGTCTTACTGATGCCCGACCCCGATTGTTGCACGCAGTAGTAGCCCATTTGGGAAAAGTCTTGTGATGCAGCTTTGATGTAGAAGTGCGAGTGAACGTTATTATCACTCTCAGCGTAATTCGTAATTCGAACATATTGTAACGGTTTTGTGCAGGCAAACAGAGAGTAGGGGAACTAGCCCTAGACTACAAGATATCATGTGCAGCTTACAAGATACACCGCCCGCCTCGGGACACATACGGCGTACGTTCCCGGCTGTGGACAGCAGAGGACAGGATGTCAACACACACACCCTGGCGTGTTATCAACAACGAGTCATGGAAGCTTCACACACTTGCTTACATTGACGCCTTAAATACTGACGGGCTGCTATCTCTCTCTGCTGTCTGCCTGATGTGCCACAAAAGGACGGCGGCGCAGTCATTTGTCATTTGCTGGCACCGTTCCGGCGACCGTTCCTCAGTCCTTGAACACAAAGAGGGTCAGCGGGGGGGGGCTGCGAAGACCTAAACTACGCGTCACCCCTGAACAGCCGTCTCCCTTTCTCGGATGATGCAGGATGGATGTACAGCAGTAGTGTGAGTGTACGCGATAGACCATCGTCCACATCGCATCTTTGCACTACATCGGCGACCTATCTACGGTGTCCCTTGCGCCACGCACTCTCCTTCACGGCCTCAGGAGAGAGGCCGCCTTTTGCGCGAGAAAGTTGAACGGGACAGCAGCAGCAACAGAGGTGATTCTTCCCAACGAAACGACAAACAAATTTAGACTTTTTGAACAGCAGCAGCGCAACGGTACGTAGAACGGCGGTGCCAAAGGCAGACAGACGCAGACAGCAGGACGTGCGGTAAGCCGTGGCCGGCTGCTGGCAACGGCCGAGGGCTGGATTCCAAGAAGAAACTCTACGGCCAAGCCTCCTCCTGAGGTTACCAATTAGGTATATCTCGAATGGGTAGTCTTTCTGTGTGTGTTTTTATTATTCCTTAATTAGCAGAGCTGCCTCGCCGACGATCTCTCCGAAGTCGTCCGGTGACCTACCGGTTACAAGGGCGATTTTGTTGTGCCGCGGAAAGACCTCACTTCAGGAGGTTGCATCGGTTGCCCTCACATCATCGCGCCCGCGGCGCTGAGGTGTTTTTTCCAGGCGAGGGAACTACCAGGACGCGGGTGAGCCAGGGAGAAAGCGGGAGCTGTACACCATAAGCTGTCATGGGCTGCTCGTCAAGTGTGCCGGAGGAGGCGAAGGTGTCAGCAAGCGTGGACCAGCAGCTTGGTGAGTACAACAAGATGAGAGCGGAGAACAGCGTGTTAGAAAAAAAGCGACTCCTCATTCATCCTCGTTCCTCACGTAACAATCAATTCATCAATTCCCCCAGCGGGTTGCTGTATCCACCATATCCGCTCGCTGGCTGTGTTTTTTGCTCGGTCCTTGTGCCGAAGAGTAGTCCTCGCATACGTCAGTGTGTGCCGCCAGCGGGCCAAGGAACGCGTGGGTGCAGCATGCTCGATTCGAGGCCGTTGTTCAACGTTATATTTCTTCGGGGCAATTTTGCTCTCTCTCGACAATAATTTTGCGCTCTGGAACGAGCTCTTTCGTGTTCGAAAAGAAAGCTCCAACACCCCCACCGGCCAAACTGCATTATCCCCCAAGAAGGAAGGTATTCTAAATACTGCTGTCAACCCCGCGAGGCTTTCCCTACTTGTAGCGATTTCTGCACCTGGCTGCAGCGCAGCGGTGGTTCTGCAAATTGAGGGAGCGTGCTCTGCAGTGGCGGCCTCGCCAAGCCAGGCCTTGTATGTACAAGTACAAGGCACCGGCCCCCACACGTCACATCACATCAATCAGTCGTCGAAAAAATATTTGATCTTGATGCGCGCACACGAACGACATCGATCGGGATGTATACTGTACCCCAAACAATGGCAAGCCGCGTACAGCAGCAGTCGTCGTGTGTGTGCAGTGTGCGTTAGTTGCAAGGTATAGTGCTCGCTTTACGTGCAAAAAAACATTATGGAACGGTTAAGTAAAGGCGTATGATACATGCGTACCTCTGTTTTTGCTGCTTCTGTATTTGTACATCCAGCAGACCGCACAACATATTTTTAAACTGCCGTACAATGTACGATGTGGACATACGTTACCGCTGTAGCAGCTGGTATGTATAGTACCAAACAAAGTAGGCTAGAGGCGGTTCCGACCGCTTTGTCTGCAAACAAAGCAGAAGACGTATGCATATATGTATACGTAGTTTCAAAACACGCATTCCAGTGAGACCCACCTTTCCTGCTGTGAGGATCCAGTCCTTCTGCGATGATGCTGTGTACGACGTTTCACTGCTGGACACGGCAGATTAGAACAAGAATTTAGCAACAGCAGAGGGCAATCAGGAGGAAAGCTCATGGATGGGTAGGCATCGAACACACACACGCGTTCATCCCGACGGCTGTAGCATACACAATGTATGCATACAACCGCAACGGGAAAACTCTCCTGTACTGGTAGCGCCGGTACTAAAAGAACCTCCTTTTTTGGCGGAGGCTCGTTTTGTTTGCAGGTTTTAGCGCAAGCTTCTTGCTTCTTGCCTGAGCGCCTATTTAGTCCTTACACTTAGTCTAAATGGCCAAGTTCTTAAATGTTCTTGTTTTTTCAGCCTGGATTTCTTGTCTCCCAGGTTCTTGAATGCGGGCACTTACTATAATAATACACCGGTAGGTCGATTTCCTGGCTCGCGCACGGGAAGAGGAGGCACATCACAAGTAAGAGCGGCATTCAACCCCAGTTGGACTCTGCGGACAAAGGGTGGTGTCGATATTCTCGTTGGCTAGGAGGGGGAGCGAATTTTCGATGATGCCCTTCCATCATCCGAGACCGGCTGTCAGTAACCCCTCCCCGCACCCCGACCCTTTCTGAGCATCCACACGCGATCACTTCTTCACGACCAATTTCCGTTCAAAATCTCGTTTCCTTGGTGCCTACCTATTTTACGACCCATGTACATGCATGTGTATGCAGAATAGCTAATGGAGAAGCGCACAGAGATCTTTGAAACCGAACGCCCTGTAGGGGCACATAATATTGTGTCGGTTCACTCCTTTGGCTGTGGATTTCGCCCGAGCCCGCCTCACCTTCTCGCGTCGATAGATATTCCGTGGTAATACTTGCGGGTTACCGTACCGTTGTCGTATCCGGTGAGAGAGTGACAACGAAGGGAGAGTCCGTCGAAGACCTCCCACTTCCCATCCCCCGCAGGTGACTTTGGAAGAAGAGTCGTATCCATGGTACTTGCAGGGTTTTAAGATACACCGCTCAGACCGTGTCCTGTGTCCCACTCTTGTATTTGCACCAATGGCTGCAACACTTACTCCTCCACATTCGGTAGTACTTTTGTGGAACGTACCACACAGAGTCGTGGGCCCTCGGTAGGGCGGGCACACTTGCCAGATCGACCCACCTGGCCCTGTGGCGGGCACCCACCCTTTGATCAGAGCATAAAACAGCTTGATTGTTCTATCCTTGCCACAATCCATGCCAAGATATTTCACCCCCCCCTACGCCAGCCACCCTCGCTATATAAACCCGCTCCATAGAGGACCCACGACTAAGCTGGATCGGGTATTGAGTTTCCGCATTCCGCCGGGAGAGTGTGGTATGGACACACGACAGAAAACCGCATTCCGGGGGGGGGACGCAAAAGGGTATACAACGAATTGACCCCGAGGCCGCACGCTGATTGGCTAATTAAGACCACCGAGAATGTCGCGACCGGGCTTCTCGAGTCGACTTTCTCACCGCTTTCTGTCGCACCGGTCACCGTCCGTTTACCGTCGCAAGCAATAACTCGCGCACCAAAGGCGTTTAAGGCTTGGTGCGACTGCTGTCTGTCGGACCTCTCCAAGCTCACCCATGTTGCGGCACAACACCAACCATGTGTACTTGGATCCAAATCAACCATGGCCAAGATCCGAACGGCAGCAAAACTTGAACACACCTCGGTCGCTTCAACCTCTTCCTCGGTCGGTGTTTTGAACGTCTCGCCCCTATCGAAAACGCAAAAACGTGGTGCAAAACACGCCTCCTCCGCGCGCGCCACCATGTGTTCCGAGATCGGAGTGAACAGCAGTTCCGCGTGTGCATCCACAGATAATTTTCCCTCCCTCGCACAACCACCCGCACACGCCTGTGGGTGACGGCGAGCTCACAAACCACAAAGAGAAATTTGTGCTGTAGCCCCGACGCAACGGATGCACGCTCCTGTGCTCTCTGCTGCTGTAGGTGGTGCTATAGTACAGCACTTGTGTTCTCTCCGCAAACGGCAAGCTTTTGAGATACCCTCAGATCACTTTGAGCCCCACCACCTTCCGCCCCCCACACGTTTCAGTTGAGTACACAACGCGCGGCGGGAGTTACTTTTTGGGACAGTAAAAGGTGACCGGGGCGACAGAAAGAGGTGCTTGTGGATTCGTGAAGCCCGGTCGCGGTATTCTCCGCTTGTGCCGCCAGAAAACGGCACTCGGTGGTATTGACCAATGAGCGTGGGGCCTCGGGGTCGGTTGTCAAGTCGATTCGATGTCTACCGTTTTGCGTCACCCCAACTTGCCCGGTATTCCGTTTTCTGCCATGTACCCGTGTTTCATTGCAAAGGAATGGCGTTCCCCCCGCGGTCCCAAAATACCAAACAACGTGCCGTGTTTAAGGCCCTCTGACCGTCCGGGTGGTATGATCGCTCTTCTGTTCTTCTGCATTCCTTCTGGTGACAAAAAATTCCGATCCCAGGAAAAAAAACAAACGATTTGAGTCTGGGTTCCAATCTGTGGCCAGCTATACTGTTGCCTGCTGCGCAGCAATCCGAAACGTGGTTATTTCTGCTTTTGGTACAATTATGTGTTGGTCGGAGAAAAGAGGTTTAAAGGCTGTGATTCCGCGAGACGCATTTATTTGTACTTCTTTGTATCGGCATTTCATCAAAAGACTCACAAGGGTTCCAGAAATCCGACGGGTTCGGGACGAATTCCCCGCATGTGATTACCGTAGCTGACATGAAGTAAGATATCACGCCCCCTGGACCGATTTTCAAAGCTCGATGTCTCCGCAAGCAGAAAAAGTGGAGGTGTCGAGTAACGGCGGCGTTGAACCCATCTCATGGGGAGCTTTCCCAAAATGTATCGTGTCGTTTATCCATCCTCCTCGCTGTGGAGTAATCGAGCTTTGAAAATCGGTCCAGGGGGGCTGGTATCTTGTGTCACCTACAGCATAGTTATGTTGTTGCCTAAGGTATGTTTCCTTTACTCCCGCTGTCGACGTCTCACAAGCGGTCATTAGGATATTGGGGCAGGAGATGCAAGCAGCGCACCCCGCCAGATGACTTTATGAAGAACCCCGCGCCGTGTGGTTAATAAATAGTCGAGCAGTGATTTGCGTGTTTTCATACGCTTTGCGAAGAGAGCAAAAGTGCCAACAGCATTCATCCAGTTGATGTAGTACAGCACTGCGAGCCCGCAGAGAAAGAACATGAAAAATGGGCGAGAGGTTGTCGTTGTTGTTGTTGTTGTCTTTACAATAAAAAATCGTTCCGGTCTCCGCTCAGTACCTTCTAATATCCGTACTATACTGTAATAGTACAACTGACGCGGACGACGCCTTCCGTGGTCACAAGCCAAAAACCGCAATTATTTCTCAATGTGCTTTTTCGTCACCACCCTTGGGGTCCATTTATTTGGGTGTACCTCTTTTTTGGGTAAGTAAGTTAGCCTGCGACCACGCACGGGAATCGACCGCCGTCAGGTTGTCGATCAGTACTGACGGACGAAGGTACTGGGCAGAGAGATCGGAACGGTTTTGGATGTGAAGACAACAACAACAACAACAACACCCGTCGAGCTATCGTAGTTAATGGTGTTGACTTGAGTGTATGATCCTCGGCTGAAGAAGGCTGTGTTTCTGCGCCCATGTTTCTTCTTGGGACATCAGACAGAGCCTTTGTTCCTTAATTAACGAAATACTTTTACTTTTACATGCGGGCCCGCACCGGCTTTACACGAAGAGGGAAAGGATTACCTCGCATGTATTTGCTTTACGTGCGGACGTGCAGCAGCAGAGTGGAACAATAACAATTGGCATGGACGAAACAAAGTCTTTTCTGTGAGGTTATGTTTACTTGCTAAAAAAAGATCAAGCGACTTCGAATCGAAGTACACTTCTTTTTATGTTTGCATCTATTTTTGTATTCAAGAAAACAACCAACCAAGCCGGTGCGGCCGGTGCGTATGCACACGTACCTTCTTGTACCCCCCCATCTCCGCACAGCAGTTACTACACCGTGCATGCATGGCTGCGTACAGCTCCATGTTGCGTACTTCTTCTAATATGCAAAATGCGGGTAGCTACTGGGGTGACATGACATAGGTGGTATGTGCGTACTGCTGTACTGCTGTTGTTGTAAAGCATCCTGAGAGCGAGCGGGCGGGCTTGCTGCTGTCATATGCACATGTATGCATGTGCGTACCGCATGCGCTTTGCATGATCGTGCATTCGGAGTCCGCACAATGTGCGTGCCGCATGCGCATACATGCGCACAGATGCGGTGCGCATCTTCGCGTGGGGTCCGCCGCCGGGCCCCCATACTACCACACACCAGTACGTACTTGCCAGCAGCAGCTCCCTGTGATTCTTTGCTGGCGCGTAAGGAGTAGGAGCGCGCTCGCTCGCGAAGTCGGTTCGACTGCTCAAGGGGCCCGCCCGCCCGCCCGCCCGCCCGCCCGCCCGCCCTGTGCGTACCTTTGGGCGTATGGGGACTTCGGAGGCGCTCCCTGCCCCCTTCCCCCCTCCCCGCGTTGTGCTGTTGTCCTTCGCGGCACCTCATACCGGTCGCCCGGGTCTCTGCTGCTGCTGCTGCGGTTAGAGAGCTCCAGGAAGCCCGCGGCTTGACCCTACGCACAGAAAACGTCCGCTAGCCAGGGTTGCTTTGGCGAGGCCGGTGTTGCGCACGGCACTGTCGCCGAGTCGTTTGTTTGCTGCTGCTGCTGCAGCTGCGGCCGGTGTCGGGAAGGGGTGGTCCCTTTTTTTGGAACGGTACTACAGTACTCACCCGTCGGCAACAACTACCCTGCTCCGTGCTGCTGCTTGTGGTGCCTCGAGACTCGGAGGAAGGCGATTGCCTCCGCGTGGTGTTGGTTATGTTTAGCGGTTGCGGCTTTCGCGCCGGTGGTTGCTGCTCCCATAAGGCCGCCGCGAAGGCCGTGGACCGGCAGATAGGTAAGTTTAAAGTTTAAGAGGGGGTGGAGATAGATGTGATCCGAATAAAATCACCCGCTGCTGCTGCTATTCTTCTTCTTCTTCTGCTGCTGCTGCTGCTACTATTTTGGATTGCTCGAGAGATTGGTTTCGAAAGAGCCCGGCTGCGCGCTGTTCGGTTTGAGGTCTACCTTTCGAACAGCAGTCCGCATCAATTCGGAGAGAAGAGAGTTAAACTCGACCTGTTCGCTGTACTCGTCGAAATTCTTCCTTCTACTCGGGTGTTGTAAATACTAAATACCCCGTCAGTTGCACAGGGGTAATACTGATGTTATTTCACTGAAAAGACTCCACCACATCCGTTCGACTGTGGGTATATTTCGAGCCGGTCGCCCCGGTGGTGTAGTTGGTAGCCTCGTAACCTTCTAGAGGTCAGGTCAGGGGTTCGAATCCCGGCGTAGGCGAGCTTTTCTTGCAAAGTGAGTTTTTCTCTCGCTTCCGCTCCTGGCCAAGTGGATAGCGCTAGTTCTTGTGTACACAGAGGGAAGAGAGTGCTTGCTGAACTCTTCTCGCATTAAAAATTGAAGGCGAAGTACCGCAGGAGGGGAGGGTAGAGTGAGGCTCTTCTGTGTGACCACGGGTTGGAATAAACGGCACTAGTGCTGTGAGCGCTGATTTGAAGTGAAGAACAAAAGAAAAAAAAAAAAATCTCGAATGGGTGTCTTTCTGTGTGTGTTTTTATTATTCTTTTATTTGCTTTATTCTATTTTTATTTATTTATTTTTATTTTAGTTTTATGGCACAACGAATCTCGATCCATACATATAGGAAGAGACACAACGAAACAAATATTCAACTCGCTATATATATATGCATACAGCAGCAGGAATGAATAATTATGTTGTGGGGTCGACATTTTTCGAACGTTGTCGTCGGGGGTTGCTGCAGCAGGAAGGGGAAAGGTGTCACGGAGTCACCAAGCGTTGTTTTTCCTAGTAATGTATCTGTAGGCCCTGCTCTCGTGTCCTCTCAGATACGAAGCGAGCGGTCGGCCGTGTGGAGCTTGCCTATATGAAGGCGAATCCCTGTTTCACGCTTTTTTCTTTGTGTAGGGTGAGCGTGTTTCTCAGGTAGACCGGGAACTCACAGAAATTAAGGTGTTTTTTGAATCATTTGTGTTTTTCAAAGGGTGGGGGGGGGGCTCCTAGGCGTGCGTTTGCAGCAGCAGTATCTTTTTTTCGAGCCAAAAACCCCTCAGTTGGGCTAAAATCCGTTTCTGCTTCCCCTAGGTGCTCCTTGCTGTGCTAAGCTATAACTACTGGTACGTGTTAAGAGTAAGCTTCACGTTGCGATGACCCTTCCACTCTCTTTCCCGTTAGTGTCCGGGTGCTCACCCAGTGCTCGCCACCCCTGGTGGTGCTACTCTGCTTGGGACTTAAGATCGCCAACGTATACCGCACACGGATAAAGCAGTGCCACAAACCTGTCTTTAGGCGTATGAAAATTTCCTACTCGCTCGGCACGTTTGACCGCATGACTCCAATTTTTTTGTTTTTGGTTTGTTTTCGCTTGGGAGAACCCAAGGAATATGTGTCTCCTATGCTACATCCACAAATATGAGTCCAGGATAAATTATAGATTAATTTGTAAGGTTATCGCTCCCCCCCCCCCCGCCCCCCCCCCGGTGTTTGCCATCGGGGTTGGGTTTTCGTCGCTTGGCAACGACGATGTAAAACAAGCCGCCGCCCCCCCCGGTGTTTGCCATCGGGGTTTGGGTTTTCGTCGCTTGGCAACGACGTTGTAAAACAAGCCCCCCACTCGGTGTTTGCCATCGGGATTGGGTTTTCGTCGCTTGGCAACGACGTTGTAAAACAAGCCAATTCACTTCGTGAACTCGGCAATCAGGTTACCGTTTTTTTTTTTTACCTCGGTTTTTTTTTTGGCGGTAACCATTATGGTGGTCGAGTAGATCATGTTGTGCGGGGTCGAGAAACCTCACTCCGCGCAACGGGGGATGATCGCACCACGTTGTGTTAAAATGGTCAAGCTTCCTCGAGGCAGTTACACAGTGCTTACAACTGTCTCTGGAAGTGAAAGCACCAGAAAATAAATTAAGTCATACGTAGCTGTCATCCGTACGCAAGGAAGTAAGCACAAGATGCCGAACACCCTTAGCAGGATGCAGCTCACCCTTCATGCGACTCGCCAAATACCTCACGGCGCTTGGGGTTTGGTGATGTGAGAGCTTGTTCGGGTGAGAACCGGGGGTGTTCGTTCCGGGTTTTGTGGGGATGGGGGGTAAAGGGTAAAAGGATTAGGGCATGCAGGATTAGGAGTACCCCCCCCCCCCCCCCCGCCCCCTGTTTACTTGTTCAAATTCGCCCCCGTGTTTGACCGCTTACTTAACCGGCATCTGCTCCAATTTCGCGCGTTTTGACTCCCCCCCTCGCTGCTCGATGCGCGCGCGTATCGTGTGTTGGAACTTCGTCTTACCACTGTGTTACGGCATGTGATGGCTTGAAACCATGGCTCGTGATTGGCTGCGGCTACAGCGGAGGCGGAGGAGGCAGAGCGAAATCACTTCAAGATCCTTCTGCTTGGGGCGGGGGAGTCGGGGAAGAGTACCGTTCTCAAGTAAGGGCGGGGTGCGGAGAGGAGAGAAGCACGCAGACAGCTGCTGTTATCCTACGTCTCACTGGCCGTGTTTTGTGTGGGAAATGATGAATACTAGACAACAGGTGGTGGATGTACATGGGGCGTGTTGGAAAATGGTGCTGCTGGAAGCCAACAACAAGGACGATTGTGACAACAGCAGCACCACCAGCACCACCAGCACCAGCAATGACGATGACAGTTAGAAGATACAGCCTTTGACGTCTGTTGCTCTTCACGCAATCAAGTGAACTCGACGACGATACACAAAGCACGGACTGCTGTTCTGCCTCCAAGCTGAAAACACTGCTGTCTTGAAGAAGCTTCAACTTTCCTACAGTAGCGCTGACCGCGCGATCTTCTCTGGGCTGTCGTGGGGGTTGGAAGAGCCATACCCCGTGTCCATGTTAGTACGCTTGGCGGTACCCTTTCTCTCTCTATCTTTGTAGATGGCATCAAGTTATTTTTCGGGTGTTTCAGGACAGAAAATAACAATCCGACCGAGCACGTTTTCTGCGGCAAGGCTCGCGGACGGTGTCTTCTTATTTATTTTTGTGTGTGTGTTTTTATGTTTTTCCCTTGTTTTTCCGAGTGCATCGTAACCTTGGTCTCTCATCGTGTGGTGCTCCCGGCCCTGTACTTGTTGGTTGAGTGCACGGCGAAGCAACAAATCGGAGCCAATTACCTCTCAATCAGCTGTGTACAAACCCTGGAGGGTTCAGATGATTCAACACGGTCTTGAGAGTACTGATGATGTGCTCGACGACGTTCCAAGTTTCACCCCTCTCTGCACTTGGTTCGCCCGTTTTCTGCCTGCCTGCCTTCCTGCACGTGTGTACGATATACGCACAATATGCCACCTCTTTCTGCGACGGCCGCACACGACCACCCCCGCCATCATTCACGCCGACGGCAACGACAACAATATCGCGAACATCAACAACAACAACAACAACCACCACCACGGACAAAAAAAAAAAAGGCAAGTGAAGATGATCTACAGGGGACGTATAGCGGACGACGACCTACAGCAGTGCGTCATGGCCATCCGAAAGAACTCCATCGAGTGTATGCAAGGGGTGCTCAGGGCCATGGACACCTTCGAGATCACCCTTGGCTTGGCGGAAAACGCCCCGCGAAAGAAGGTGCGCGGGGGGGGGGGGGGCATGGCCTAATCGGCAAAACAATA